CAGGAGCTGAATGAAGGGTTTCTCTCAGTGATGTCAGTAACAGGAGCTGAATGAAGGGTTTCTCTCAGTGATGTCAGTAACAGGAGCTGAATGAAGGGTTTCTCTCAGTGATGTCAGTAACAGGAGCTGAATGAAGGGTTTCTCTCAGTGATGTCAGTAACAGGAGCTGAATGAAGAGTTTCTCTCAGTGATGTCAGTAACAGGAGCTGAATGAAGGGTTTCTCTCAGTGATTTCAGTAACAGGAGCTGAATGAAGGTTTTCTCTCAGTGATGTCAGTAACAGGAGCTGAATGAAGGGTTTCTCTCAGTGATGTCAGTAACAGGAGCTGAATGAAGGGTTTCTCTCAGTGATGTCAGTAACAGGAGCTGAATGAAGGGTTTCTCTCAGTGATGTCAGTAACAGGAGCTGAATGAAGGGTTTCTCTCAGTGATGTCAGTAACAGGAGCTGAATGAAGGGTTTCTCTCAGTGATGTCAGTAACAGGAGCTGAATGAAGAGTTTCTCTCAGTGATGTCAGTAACAGGAGCTGAATGAAGGGTTTCTCTCAGTGATGTCAGTAACAGGAGCTGAATGAAGGGTTTCTCTCAGTGATGTCAGTAACAGGAGCTGAATGAAGGGTTTCTCTCAGTGATGTCAGTAACAGGAGCTGAATGAAGGGTTTCTCTCAGTGATGTCAGTAACAGGAGCTGAATGAAGGGTTTATCTCAGTGATGTCAGTAACAGGAGCTGAATGATGGGTTTCTCTCAGTGATGTCAGTAACAGGAGCTGAATGAAGGGTTTCTCTCAGTGATGTCAGTAACAGGAGCTGAATGAAGGGTTTCTCTCAGTGATGTCAGTAACAGGAGCTGAATGAAGGGTTTCTCTCAGTGATGTCAGTAACAGGAGCTGAATGAAGAGTTTCTCTCAGTGATGTCAGTAACAGGAGCTGAATGAAGCGTTTCTCTCAGTGATGTCAGTTACAGGAGCTGAATGAAGGGTTTCTCTCAGTGATTTCAGTAACAGGAGCTGAATGAAGGGTTTCTCTCAGTGATGTCAGTAACAGGAGCTGAATGAAGGGTTTCTCTCAGTGATGTCAGTAACAGGAGCTGAATGAAGGGTTTCTCTCAGTGATGTCAGTAACAGGAGCTGAATGAAGGGTTTCTCTCAGTGATGTCAGTAACAGGAGCTGAATGAAGAGTTTCTCTCAGTGATGTCAGTAACAGGAGCTGAATGAAGCGTTTCTCTCAGTGATGTCAGTAACAGGAGCTGAATGAAGGGTTTCTCTCAGTGATTTCAGTAACAGGAGCTGAATGAAGGGTTTCTCTCAGTGATGTCAGTAACAGGAGCTGAATGAAGGGTTTCTCTCAGTGATGTCAGTAACAGGAGCTGAATGAAGGGTTTCTCTCAGTGATTTCAGTAACAGGAGCTGAATGAAGGGTTTCTCTCAGTGATGTCAGTAACAGGAGCTGAATGAAGGGTTTATCTCAGTGATGTCAGTAACAGGAGCTGAATGAAGGGTTTCTCTCAGTGATGTCAGTAACAGGAGCTGAATGAAGGGTTTCTCTCAGTGATGTCAGTAACAGGAGCTGAATGATGGGTTTCTCTCAGTGATGTCAGTAACAGGAGCTGAATGAAGGGTTTCTCTCAGTGATGTCAGTAACAGGAGCTGAATGAAGGGTTTCTCTCAGTGATGTCAGTAACAGGAGCTGAATGAAGGGTTTCTCTCAGTGATGTCAGTAACAGGAGCTGAATGAAGGGTTTCTCTCAGTGATTTCAGTAACAGGAGCTGAATGAAGGGTTTCTCTCAGTGATGTCAGTAACAGGAGCTGAATGAAGGGTTTATCTCAGTGATGTCAGTAACAGGAGCTGAATGAAGGGTTTCTCTCAGTGATGTCAGTAACAGGAGCTGAATGAAGGGTTTCTCTCAGTGATGTCAGTAACAGGAGCTGAATGAAGGGTTTCTCTCAGTGATTTCAGTAACAGGAGCTGAATGAAGGGTTTCTCTCAGTGATGTCAGTAACAGGAGCTGAATGAAGGGTTTCTCTCAGTGATGTCAGTAACAGGAGCTGAATGAAGGGTTTCTCTCAGTGATGTCAGTAACAGGAGCTGAATGAAGGGTTTCTCTCAGTGATTTCAGTAACAGGAGCTGAATGAAGGGTTTCTCTCAGTGATGTCAGTAACAGGAGCTGAATGAAGGGTTTCTCTCAGTGATGTCAGTAACAGGAGCTGAATGAAGGGTTTCTCTCAGTGATTTCAGTAACAGGAGCTGAATGAAGGGTTTCTCTCAGTGATGTCAGTAACAGGAGCTGAATGAAGGGTTTCTCTCAGTGATGTCAGTAACAGGAGCTGAATGAAGGGTTTCTCTCAGTGATTTCAGTAACAGGAGCTGAATGAAGGGTTTCTCTCAGTGATGTCAGTAACAGGAGCTGAATGAAGGGTTTCTCTCAGTGATGTCAGTAACAGGAGCTGAATGAAGGGTTTCTCTCAGTGATGTCAGTAACAGGAGCTGAATGAAGGGTTTCTCTCAGTGATGTCAGTAACAGGAGCTGAATGAAGCGTTTCTCTCAGTGATGTCAGACGGATGTCTGATCTTCGGCTCACTGATAGTGATGTTCTGATTCATGAGTATTGTATCTCATCTTCATGACAACTTCATTAGGACAGTTAAGAGTCAGTGAAGAGCTGGAGCTGTACTGAGGACGACTGTTCTGCATTTGCTTCTACTTTCTGCTCTTCTTCATCTTCTTATTTATATATCTTCGCAAACACTTTTGAATAAAATTGAGTCAACACTGGATCCAAAGCAAAGTTCTTCTTCAAAGCTAATTTGTATATGTTTTTGAATAGCTCTTTATTGCATTTTATCTTATATTTTGCATGAAAATAGCCAAGGAATCTGACACCAACCAATCAACTACAACTACTGCTTTTCTTCTTCATCATCATAATTTTCTTCCCCCTCTTCCTCTTCCTCTTATTCTTTTGTAGTTTTTTATCTCTATTTCACACTGCTCATCCCTTTTGATCTAAAATAATATATGTAATTTGTCATTTCTGCTCCACTAACATCACCAATTGGAAATGTGTCGAATAGACAACAGCATATTAACATAATACTTTCATATGACAGAAATAGTATGAGTGGGTATGGTATTGGTCAGTCAAACAGATAGTCCCGCCCCAATCTCACACGATTGGTTGAGGTTGAAAGGTCGGGTGGCTCAAACAGATCAGTGTTGTGAAAGAGTCTTCCAGCTGTTTCCATCCAAAATGGCATAAAGGCATAAATCATTTGCGAATAAAGCAGGTTTTCCATCCCATGTGTTCAAGAGAATAAAATCGTTCAATATATCAGTAATAAAAATGTAAGATGATGTAATCAGGGTCTTTTTGCATCTCAGAGCCTCAGACGAAACACAATAAACGCTGCCGTGTTCTCTGGCGTCCGGATGCTGGTGTTCGGGAACACACTCGTGTGTGTGAGACGCTTCTGGAGGGAATTACACCAAATCATTCTGATCACACACTTTGACTCCGGCGTTTCAGAAACACCAAACCAACACTAGAGATGCTGCGATGCCATTGGTCCGCTGGTTGCCTCAGTTATCCAATCACATGAGTTTGTTGTTGCGCATCAAGGAAATTTTTCAGTAAATGTGAGTCCACATCTGGTCTTATTCTATCGTGCTTTTATTGAATCAATTTGATCTTTTTCTCTGGTGTCATGGTTTGGAAATCTATCCTTAAAGAATAGAAATTCCCACGCATTCTCATCCTTTGGCGTCATATAGGTGACGCCATATGACATTTCGTCGAAATCTTACGCACATGGCATCCTTCAGCGTCAATATAACACGCACTGTTATGGGTAGGTTTAGGTCTGGGTTAGGGTACGGTTATGACGCCTTGGGATCTGCGTCTCATATTGACGCTAAACGATGCCATGTGCGTAAGCTTTCGACGAAATGTACAAAGCGCCACATGTATGACGCCAAAGGATGAGAACGGGCTGGAAATTCCCTAAATCAAATTGTTAAATGGTCTAGTAAGCTGATTGGTGTGTCCCAGTTTAGTCCAGTGTCCCTGTACACCAGACAGTTACAGCGGATAACTGGCTCAATTTTAAATGATGATGCCTATCCTCTGCACAGGGAATTTCAGCTTCTTCCCTCCAGACGAAGGTATATAGTCCCAAAGTGCAGAACAAAGCGGTATAAAAATAGCTTTGTTCCAGCAGCCATCAATCAGAGGAACAAAATGCACAGATGACACAGAAGCTATGTTTGATTTATTTTTATTTATTTTATCCTTTTTATTTTATTGTTGTCAAATGTGTATTGTCTGTGTTTGTCGTAAAAATTGTGTGGATAACTCTGACACTGCAAAACAAATCTACCTACGGGTACAAATAAAGGAACCTGAACTGTAATTTATGCGCATGTCTTCTTATCAGGTTTGTTTTATGCAATATCCTGAAATTTGCGTAAAAATGGGTGTTTGGAAACATAGCTAGTGTTCCTGGAATCAGTCTAGCGCTGACAGCGACTGTGAACATGTGATCGCCGCACTGTAAAACATCCAGGTTATGCTGGTTATGTTTCAGCGTTCTCTTGAACCGTCTTGCCAAGAGTTTTGCAGTAATTAACCTCATTCTGTGGAGCTGCCGAGCATCTCTCAGGTCAATATCACAACGAGACACTGATGAATCTGGTGTGTGTGAGAGGAACCGGAGCGCTGAACTGGAAGCGTCTCTAATGAGCTGCAGCAGGACCGGGGCGTTTGACCCGTTTCAAACTCCAGCTAAATGTGGAATTCATATCTGATATTGTCTTACACTCCTTCTTTAATGTTTCTCAGCAGGGCGTCTTGCATTTTCAATGAACCTGCCTGCCATTTCCTCTGTTCTCGCTCGGTTGCTTTGAACCGATCAATTCTCTTGTGAAAAATGCATGTGTGGTTTTCAGATGTATGAGTATGAAGCGTCCCACTAATAACGCCTCTCTCTCTCTCTCTCTCTCAGGAACAGAAGAGTACGCTGTGGAAGGTAAGCAGCTGATTACATGTTCTGGTGTGTTAAAGTCTGATGTTCTGCAGGCGTATCGGCCGCCGAGCCGAGGCTTTGTCAGATTGGACTGCGGTTTTGGCGACTTCTGGGGGCTTTGATTTGCTGCTAAGAGAAACATGTTTCTCCAAGATTTACTCTTCCTCCTTTATCTCACTTTCTTTTCTTCTCATGAGTTGCTTTTATTGGTAATGCTTTACAATAAGTTTTCATTAGTTAATGCTTGTTAGTTCACTGATGTTAACAAATGAACTCTTATTGTAAAGCGTTACTGTTTGACTTTTACTTTCCAATCAGTTGAAATGGACAGTTCCATGTTGTTGTTGGTTGGTTTCACGGCACAGATGTGAACCCGATGTTGACGTTCGGGCTGTGAATGTGTTCTCAGTGTATTGTGATAAAACAGGTGTGTGAGTTCAAAGGTTAAACCGTCCCGAACGACGCTCGCATCCGTCGAGGGCCAGATGTATTTACCCATAATTCCCCCGCAGGCTGGATTTGGCTGCGTAATGGATGGTGCTGGTGTGTGTTTGGGATCAGGCGCAGGTATCTGGATGTTTTCCCTCCATCACTGATGGATTGCCCTTCTCTACCCAGCATGCCTCGGGAGGGACGTCACCATGGCAACCCCCGAAGAGCGTGTGCATGTGCTGGATGGAGGCCGATTAAATGCATGTTTCCAGTGGTTTCCAGACAGTCCTTTATATAAATATGATCACAGTGTCAGTTTCTTGTGTTTGCAGGAGTTTGGATTGAGCGGCAGGAGCTTAAACACGACTCAGATTTTTATGTGGGGATGATTTCCGAAGCTTTTATCACTGGTGTTATCATGGCTTTTATTTATTTTACAAAAACCCGTAAGCATTGTGCTCTTAATAACAAGTTTAATAACTTAACACAATAAAACTATATAAATTATAGAAAATGCTTCAGACCGATTATAGTGCAAATGAACACAACCATAAAGAGCAACAATAAATAACCAGATATTTTCCAGACATGGGAATCTTTTCTGGACTGTCATGTTTTTAGTTTAGATTAGAAATGTAAACAATGTGAACAAATGTTTGAAATTAACTTTTAAAAAGTCTTTAAGAATTTAGTGGTGTTTGAGAAACACTATAGCATCCTATAGCAACAATTGGTAATACTGTATCTAGAGTTATTTACGGTATTTTGAAGTGCCTGGGATAATAATACTGTACATGTTCATCATCATTATACGCTGTATTACACGTCTGAAATCCATAGAACACAGAAGAGATGAATAATGTTGAGTTCAAACAGGCAATCAATGCAGGCTTTCTTTCCCTGATTCCAGGGAAACTGGTAATCAAGGCTAACTGTGAATGTAGAAACATGATAAAAACATCTCTCTGGATTTTCTTCAACAAAAATGAGCAGTAAATATTGCAGACTGTTTTTAGCGAGTCTTTCATGCTTGCGGTTGCCAGGTGTCGAGAGTTTAAATCCCCCAATCAGAGCTTCCTCTTAACATGACATCTTGCATGCCGGCTGTTTAACTTAATCTTCTCAATCTGGCAACCGTGTGCATGTGTTCTCTCTCTGATGATCTGAACATCTGAGATCTTCACTGAGATCTTCAGTCAGTCTGTGTCTGTGTTTGACTGAATCTGCCATGATCTGTAATAAATACAAACATGATCTCGTCTGAACAGATGCACGAATACAACCTCTGTGTGACGATACAACGCCAGTTTTGCTGTTGATTTAATAGAAAAACATTTTACCAGTTTTCATAAATAATGTGTAGAGAGTGTGTTAATGTAAAGGATGATATTATAAATCAGGGCAGTAAAATAAAGCATCTGTAAAGAGTTGACTTTCTCTTGATTTGTGCTTGTAGGCGAAAGTGCAATAATTCTGATAAGAATTTTCACAAATGACAACAATCATGATCAGTTTATCAAAGCAACTTGAATCGATTTAATTGACTAAAACTAGGCTTAAATGTCAAGACTTGACTAAACAAACAGCAGAATAGTATCTGACCAGTGCAGGACTGAGACTGAAGCTTGCTGATTCAGAAGCTCGAGCTGCTCGATGTGTTTCCTTCAGATGTGAGTCTGGTTTCTCCTTCTCTTCTGATTGAAGCCGGTGACATTTGCTGGGTTTGTGCGGGTCGGACAGAAAACTAGAGGAAAAAGCTGATGAATGTTTTGATGTGGGAATGTCAGCGCTGGAGACATGCTGTGGATCTGACCTGAGAAACGTGAATCTCCCGGATTAAAGCTTCCGCTGCATGAATATATATGCAAATGTTAGTGCATGAGACACTACAGACGAGCTATAGAACTAACATATTCACATACTGAAACATCCCTTCAAACAGAATATGGCTCAGCACATAATCAACATTACAGAACGAACGTTTGGTCTTTATTTGGAAGAGCGTCACGTTTACACTCATGCCTTTGGCTGAGGCTTTTATCTAAAGTGATGAAGCAATACAAGTTCACCGTTCAGATTTCTGCTCACGTTTCGGTACAGTGTTGGTACGGCGGGTGGAATACTGAATCATATTTTTAAACAGTTCAGAGTAAATGTGCTCATTTGTATGTATATGATTTTCCAATTCATTTTAAAATACAAAACTACAGAGAATTTGTAAAGCCCTTTACTTGAAGCCTTTATGTATAATGCATTATAAAGGTATTAATACTGTACATTATAATGCATTATATATTTTAATAAATAATTGTAACCAAAGTTTAAATGCATTATGCAGATTCCTTGTTGCATCTAAAATTGGATGTTTGTCATGTGTTTTATTGCATTAATCTTTCCAAAGTTGTGTTCAATGAATATAGAAGTATTATAATGTATTATAACTGTGGTTATTCATGATTATTCCTGAGATCATGCAATTGTACTTAATTTTTTTAAGTAATGTATTACAGAGAATTTATCTGCACATTGTATAAAAATAATTTAAATGAAGTGCATGATGATAGTTGTAAAAATTTCGGTTTCTGTTTCACTGTGGCTTGAGCCGATGCTTCAAAATGGACTGAACTATGTAGAATTTCTGGAAAAAAAATGTAAATGAAAGTGACCTTTTCAGAAACAAGAAGAGATAGATGAAAATAACAAAGATATTTGAAGAAATGTCTCCGTGTTTTTGACCATACAGTGAAAGTCAATGGGGTCCAATGTTGTTTAGTTCCCAACATTCTACAAAATATCTTCATTTATGGAAGTCTTGATGACAGAACAATAATTTTTGAGTGAACTTTCCCATTGATTTCTGATCTTTTTTTAATGTTTCTAATATTCTTTCAGTTCCAAATTTCCAAAAGTTGTCTTATTTCATCTTCAGTAATCATAAGCATGTTTTTGGTTTGTCCTGATTATGTCAGAGATGTGGACATAGAAAGTGTCCGAGAACAGGAAGTACAACAGGAAGTAAAACAGGAAGTAGAACAGGAAGTAGTTAGTTAACCCACCGGTTCCCATCGGTTGAGGATTGAGGAATGGTTGAGGGTTCATTAGATGAGGATTGAGGAATGGTTGAGGGTTCATTGGTTGAGGATTGAGGAATGGTTGAGGGTTCATTGGTTGAGGATTGAGGAATGGTTGAGGGTTCATTGGTTGAGGATTGAGGAATGGTTGAGGGTTCATTAGATGAGGATTGAGGAATGTTTGAGGGTTCATTGGTTGAGGATTGAGGAATGGTTGAGGGTTCATTGGTTGGGGGTTCATTGGTTGAGGATTCATTGGTTGAGGATTAAGGAATGGTTGAGGGTTCTTTGGTTGAGGATTGAGGAATGGTTGAGGGTTTTTAATTAGATGAGGATTGAGGAATGGTTGAGGGTTCATTGGTTGAGGATTGAGGGATGGTTGAGGGTTCATTTGTTGAGGATTGAGGAATGGTTGAGGGTTCATTGGTTGAGGATTGAGGGATGTTTGAGGGTTCATTTGTTGAGGATTGAGGAATGGTTGAGGGTTCATTAGATGAGGATTGAGGAATGTTTGAGGGTTCATTGGTTGAGGATTGAGGAATGGTTGAGGGTTCATTTGTTGAGGATTGAGGAATGGTTGAGGGTTCATTAGATTAGGATTGAGGAATGTTTGAGGGTTCATTGGTTGAGGATTGAGGAATGTTTGAGGGTTCATTGGTTGAGGGTTCATTGGTTGAGGATTAAGGAATGGTTGAGGGTTCATTGGTTGAGGATTAAGGAATGGTTGAGGGTTCTTTGGTTGAGGATTGAGGAATGGTTGAGGGTTTTTAATTAGATGAGGATTGAGGAATGGTTGAGGGTTCATTGGTTGAGGATTGAGGGATGGTTGAGGGTTCATTTGTTGAGGATTGAGGGATGGTTGAGGGTTCATTTGTTGAGGATTGAGGTAGGGGTGTGACGGTTATTATATAACCGTGAGACCGACGGTTATAGTTGAACACCGTCATTAGAACTCTATAACCGCCAAAACCGTGCTATTAAAATATTTTTTACAAACATTTTTTATCATAGAGAATGTTTAAATACTAATATCAGCTTAAGAGGGAAACGGAGGCTGCTACTGCTGGAGATGATTCGGGAGAGGTCTGTGCACCTTTACCGATCAGAGCGCGCGCTGACACGGAGTAAAGCCTTGTTTATACTCCGTCCGCACGATCGCGAAGGTGCGCGCGGCAAAAATGACGCGTTCGGTGCGCAAGACCCCATTTGGCTTGGCTGTGTGTTTATATCTATGGGCTGTGTGCACGGCTTTTTTTTTGTAACAGCGCGCGCGGCGCCGCGTCCGAATCATAGACTTCAAGCCGAATCTGCCCGAGCATGCACGTCTCACCGCACCGGCACGCAGTTTGCGCGTCTAAATTGCAAAGTTCATTCCAAAGTTTTTTCGTTAAGGTTTTGTTACTGTGTGTGACTTATTAAAAAAAAAAGCACGTTCATTGCAACGTTTGTTTGTTTTGTTAGTTAAGGATTTGTTTACTGTGTGATACATTTAATGGAAAG